CTGTATCGTTTGCGGAGGAAAAGATCTGTTACAAAATGAAAAGGCAACCAGTTGGGAAAAGTTAAATCTACCCTTACCACATGACTGACAGCACAGAAGGCCTTCGTGGAGATATTTTGACATGCCACGGCAGGAAATGCACAGGTGGAAATAATAAAAACTAATGATGGCTGAATTCCATTTAACTGCTTAATATTTAGGGCGCGGGTATTGCGCATGCTGGCTGACTGTCACACTGTCATGGCATAATGGGACACTAGAATAGAACAGAGCCATCATTAATGTTTTTAATAACACCTGTGCTTGTAGTATTATCACAATTTAAAATGATTGCAGTGAAAATGGCTACACAAATCTGTCAACAGTAGCACTGGGGATGTACCATAAGTGGCCAACTATGCAGCTGTTGCATATAAATAGAACAACACTTTAAATGTAATGATTACAGTATTTAGGAAAATATTTATAAAGTATACCTTAATAAATGTGAGGTAAAGTGGTAAATATATATAGCAAACAAGGCCGGTTCATGTAGCAGAAAAACCCTGTAAGTAATATGTCACTTGACATTTCAATTGCTTTCATCTCTTCTCTCTGCAAATGACAGTCACACATCTGCCGACAGTTTCACTTCTTTCATTTCTTATTCATTAAGTGAGAGTTCATCTGCTTTCAGAGACGGCACTCCAACCGTCATCTCAGCTCCTTTAAATGCTTACACTTCAAACCCTTTCAAGTCTCAGGTCTTCACCTTTGAACAAAAACACTTCCACTGTTCATACACAACTTGGTCCAACTGCTCAGCATTTCCATTTCATCCAGTAAATGTATTTTAAACTCCACTCTTACTTCAACTTGTTCAGTGTTTTACATTTACTTACTTAGCTGACGCTTTTATCCAAAGCGACTTACAATTGCTATACATGTGAGAGGTTGCGCGCCTTTGGAGAAAGTAGGGGTTAAGTATCTTGCTATGGGTTAGTGGTGGATGTGGCGCAGGCATGTGTCTTATACACTCTTCCATAGCCAGTATGATGATAGTTTGGTACGTTTGGAAATGAACTGTTGCTATACAGTTGATCATTAAGTTGCTACAAGGGAAATGCTCAACAAACTGTGGCCACGCTCTGCGAGTAGATGATACTGCAATATGACCAGGACAGTATTCCCCACCTATTGTATTACTGCTAAGGCCAATTATGGCGGCCCTCTGCTGTGGCAAGGGGCCAGTAGCTGCAGGCAGCCATGAAGAGGAGTTGAATAAAGTGAGAGAAATTGAGAGTATGTAACAGAGATGAAAGAAAGTGAGAGTCTCAGTATTCAGTGCAAGTAATCAGCCATCTCTCTCTGCGTCTATCTTTATCCCCAACAAAATCTGCTTTCATTGCCTCATACACTTATCCTTGACGGGAAGAGCAGTCACGCACATACTCAAGACATTCAGGCACGTGCACACACATACACACGCCTACACAAAGAATAGAAGTTTATCGTCCACAGAAGTGGATTTTTGCCTTTGGCTTAACAAGGATGATCAAATGCATACAACAGCGTAACAACACAGTAAACAGACAACATAATTAACAGCATCTTCCGCATGCACAGTCACGCACACATTTTCAATACTTTGTAAATCCTTTGGAGCAAAAATAACAAGTACACCAAGTCCTTGCCCAAGCTCAATTAAAGCAGGCATTTGTCAATTCTGCTCTCTCTCTTGAATACTGTAGCACATTCACTACAAGTGTCCTCTTTCAAAAAGCGACAAGCTAGTGCTGTGCCGAGATAGCGTGCCCCTTTGTCTGCAGCCTGGCTAATGGTTAAACCAAACAGTCTATACACTCAAGTCAGTCAGCTTCAACTGTGTCTACACCTTTGTGGGGTAATGAGGCTGAAATTAATAAGAGGTTAATTAATGATCATTCTCCCAAAATACTTATATTTACAATACCACCAGAAGTTAAAACAAAACCCAAAATAATGTATTGTACTCACTTGTCCTCTGACCCCCAGCCAAAAGTCCAAAGCCAGCTAATGTTCCGTTTAAGAGGCTGGAGCAATTGTTTGATATTTCCGCTAGAAAGATTTACTAATCATAGGTGCCCAGCTGCTCACAGTTCATCATTAGTCACTAAGGCCATGGTATAGTATATAGTGGTTTGCAACGTAGGGGTTGGGACCCCCCTAAGGGATCACAAGATACATCTGAAGGGTCAGATGATGGTCGGCAATTATTTTTTTATTTTTATATACTGAATGCTTGGCTGTCTTCGGGCCTCTCAAAATACTTTAAATAAACAGTCTGAGAGGGGAGAATCTTCACTTTCAAGTATTTGTTTGAGTTCATTAACATATAAAACAGGGGACTAAGGGGCCCAACTAGCCGTTGCTTCATTTTAAAGGAATAATTTCACATTTTAGGTATTCACTTTCTTGCCAAGAGTTAAATGAAAAAAATTGATATCATTCTGATGTAAAAAGCTAAGCAGTTAGCTTAGCTTAGAACAATCACAACAAAAGAGGATAAAATCTACCTACTAATTAACACATTATATCTCGTTTGTTGATTGATTTGTCTGAAAAACACAAGTGTAAAAACTGCATGTTGAGGTTTAATGAGGAGTTGTGTGGTGAACCATCTCTTGGTCAGGTGCAGTGACTTTGTGCAGTCTCGGCTGGTTGCTTAAACGCAATTTATCTACCACTGACTTTATTCATTTCTCACCCTGAATGCTGTTGTCAAGGAGTTTCAGGCAGAAAAGCAATGCAGAAACAAGCAGGATGTGCACCTCAATCAATTCCACAGCCTCCCTTTGCTAATCAAACTATCTGCCAAAAAAGCCCTTTTGGCAGCTACGCTTGGACATCAACCTGACCGCTTGATTATGTTTGCAGCCTTTTGAGCCAAATGCTGCTCTAATATTACTGCCTAATGTAGGCCATATGCTGTTTTCCAAGAAGCCAAGAGATACTGTTTCTAAGAGACCTGAAAGGCAGCAAGAGACTTCTGGAGTCAAAGTCAGCATCCACAATGCACTGCACCATGGTGTGCTCAGACGGTTTTCAGTGCTAGGCAGCTCTTCGAAAGGTGAACAGGGTAAGTTGATGAGACTGACATGAACAGCTGTCTCTTTTTAATGCATATGAGCCCCCCTCCCACTTTACTCCAAACCTGCTATGTTCAGCAGAAGAGTGTTTCCTTGCAGCATAAAGGGACTCGCTCTACAGTACTTTGTAAATGCAACACTGTATAAATGACATCGGACACAAACACGCGCAAAGAACCGAGTGGATCTCTATCTACGCATCATGGCAGTGGTTATGACAAAGGCAGGTCTGATTGCCATGATGATGCTGATGATGCAACTGCACTCACTATTGACAGAGTGGAAGGAAACTGAAGCCCAGCGGTTATTAGTGCTTTGTATGTCATACATAAGTGGCACTTACCTCATATTTATCGTAGGAGTGTATGGAAACTGACTTCTGTCTGATAATAAAGATATATGGGCGCTCTCTCTCTCTCTCTCTCTCTCTCTCTCTCTCTCTCTTCATTCAGCACAGACAAAGTGGAGAAACACACCATCTCACTCCTGAGAGGTTCATCCCTGAGACTCAAGGTTTCTGCTTTAATCACACAGAACAGCCACAGAAACAGGAATGTGTTCAATCTGTCCAAGAACATTCTCTCTAAACTAGCAATAGGCCAATTATATAGCATTTTGAGAAAATGAGGCCGAGAAACAAAAGTTGTCTGCAGACACATCTGCAGGCAGCCTTGTCAGTGTGGCTATATTGTTCTATTTCATTAATTAATCAAAATTCCATCTAAAATAACACAGTACTGGCTAAGATAACCATGTTGGGTATATCGGACTGCAATTTCCATGGAATAATGTAATTATAAATGACTTTTCTTTGTTTTGATATCGGCACTATATCGGCCATCAGCTGCCCTGCTCTCTAAATGTCGGCATCGGCCATTGAAAAATCCATATCAGGCGATCCACTACTCTAAACCATAACACATTAACCAGCTGATCAACTTCTGCAAGAGTGAGAACAGACCAATTAGAGCTGGACACTTTTCTTGAAGGTTATTGACAAAAATCTGGTATCTTTATTGGGTTATCCTTGTATGTATGAACACACATACACACACACACACAGAGGCCATATGACCACATCCCTGCAGTGAAATGACCTACTTTACTCAAGTTTTGCCTGTAACTTGGCCAGCACATTGATGGTAGCACTGGATTGCTGTAGTCTATCACAGAGATTCAGTGCAGAGCTTATTGGGTGCACTTCCAAGAGGCTTATTTCTCTGACACACTGACAAGATATCATGAATTAACATTACTTCCACGCATGACACTAATCTTGTCTTAATTATGCAATTAGCTATCTGTCTTCAAATAGTCCATATTTCAAAGAGTTGATTCAGCCATTTATGTATTTTCCCACAGGATGAACAGCAGATATTTGTACTGTGACTGAGTGAAAGAGAGAAAGATATTCACTGAAACTACAGGCAGGATCACTTTGTGGAAACTATAAGCTGTCAGTGCACGTTCTGTAGGCATGATAAAAATACATTTTAAATATTACTTTAGTTGGTCGCCTCTGGATAATAAAACTGACAGATTGATTAGTTGTCTATTAGTAGGAAGTTGGAAACACAAAACCAGCCTTTGTTGAGCACAGGCAACTTGCTCTGTGTTTCAGGATAAACTCTGACCACCTAAACAGCAACAGCAGTGCTGTTCTGTCAACATTTCAATTCCTAGTAGAAACTTTGACAACTTAGCCTCGCTTTCACAGCAAAACTCTGCGTCAGCGTTGCAGGCTACTAACTTAAAAGATACTGTAAAATAATGAGACTATAAATTAAATACGACCAAACACACCTATCGGCTAACTCTTAGCTACAATTTAGTGGGCTACTGTTATTGTTGCTAGGGTTTGAGGAACCCGTGCTTTACTTTTCCGTCACTTACCATCTTCCTTTTCATCGAAAACTGGTCGCTTTGAAGAACTATTGGCTCCCATCCTCTTCTTCCACTTGCCCCAGTGAAACATTGATGCCCAGATTGCATTCCTTGCCTCTTCAAGATAAACTACAGCTCAGTGTTGGACACCCTCCTCAGAAAACAGTAATCATAACCATACATTTCACCCAAACCGTGTCCGTTATTTCGCTTTATTTTATCCGATATTTATTCTGCCGAAAATGAGAGCACCGCAAGTCTTTCTAAACCAGGGGAGGGCAAGTGCAGCAGGTACCGACGGACTGGAAAATATTTTAGAAGAAAGACTGTTTGTTACAGTTGGAGGTATATATAATCACTCAGCACTGGTAGTGTTCAGTAGTCTTCCGTAGCCTGCCAGCCCTAACCGAGAGACTTGTGTTTGTCGGGGCTGAGAGTAAGAGCTGAGTCAAGTTAGACACGTTAAGCTAAATCAAAACAGGAAGTTGTGCAATTTTGCCTTAAAAATAAAAGCTTCACATGTTGTAGGTGTACTGCAGTGGCCTCATATTAGCAGCGACTGGTGGTGGCATCACATAGATCGATTGGAGAACTTAAACTGCATACAGTATGTAAACTAATCGGTGCCGTTTAGCTAAAGATTAATTAAGTTGATACATTAACTTGAATAATTTACATTACAACCGTGTATAAATCAGTTGTCAGTTCAGATTATAAATGTTCATCAAAGCAGCTGATATACAAAATATGTGTGAAGTCTATCCAAATAAGTACCTGTTTTTCACCATGGACTAGCCTATAGCTCACGTAAGTAACAGCCTTTAGTGGGACAGAGAAAAAAAAAAAGAAAATTATTTATATCCATCAAAAGTCCTTCTCATGTTGTTTTCCCTTTTTACTTCACTTTTGCTGTGAACGTTTGCGTGGACACTTTTATATTGAAAGGGATAACCGGAAGCTACCCCCTAGTATTTTGACGAAGATGACACTTGTGAGAGTAGTGTGACAGTTACTGGGCCAGTGACTGTATTCGACGTAGCTCTGTATCACAGACTGTCATGCATATCAACACACAAGGACCAGCCTCTGTAGGTGAAGGCAGGATAGCTCAGCACACACTGGAGGGCTTTCATCGCTTGTTACCAGCAGCAAACTGATGCTTTTTCCATCCCTCCAAGTGAATTATTTTATAATCTCATTAGTAGACGGATGGGTGGTGCCGGATCACTGAGGGGAGGAAAAGGATTTAACATGTAACACTTTGTCTTCAGTATGCACACTGGGTTTATTTGCTCCTGTTGCAATATGTGTGACACATATATATTTCAATGCAGCTTTGGCATGTGGCCTGCTTACATTTACCAAGTATTAATAGCTTTTACATCTCTGGTTGAACCATTATAAAGTAGTTCGCCTTGTTTGCCCGTTGACACTTGCCGTAGTTTTTGTTGACCTCGTTGCCGTGGTTACGACGTCAAACTCGTGAGGCGGTAGCTAAAAGTTAGCATGACATATGTGTTTCGGGGTTGTTGTTGTTTTTTTATTCGTTTTATAAAGTTTTTATTTTAAGAACATACTCAGTCACGTTCATTGGTTCCAAGTTTTGTTTATTCAAATTCCAGGTAAGCTAACATCGCGTAGTAAAGCAGATAAACAGTTTGCTAAAGTTAGCTAATGTCAGGCAGCAGCAGTGGATGAATCAACCTGCTTGTAATTTAGACAAGCTGAACTGTCACGTTAAATCAATCTGCTGTTTAGACGAAACCTGTCCATTCAATGTGATAATTAAATAGACATTCTTATTTTCAGACACAAGGAGAAATATGCCAATGCAAAAAGACACTTGAACGGCCTGAACCGTGGTCTGCGTACATTAAACATCTCAGCATCACTTCTACTATGTATTCCCTAGAGAAGAGGGAGGAGGTTCCTGACCTGCAGCTAAGCTTTGGCTTTGGGGACAGTGTTGTCAAATCACAGACCCCCCACCTTCTGCCTGAGGGTGCTGAGGAGCTCCCTGAAAATTACTCAGCAGAGACATTGTGTCTGAGCAGAACTAAGCTGAAACATGTTGCAGAAAGTATTTTGAAAAATAGCATACTAAAGGTCAGTTTGGACTTTACTGTGTATTTGTCAACTTCTACCCACCTAGCTACAGTGTTTTTTTAAAACAAAAAGTCAGTAATGCATCCAGTAGAACATTTCTATCTCTGTATAATGTATTCTTTTTTAATTGTAACAGCTCATTGTATCATTTCCAGTATTTATATCTTGAAGGCAACCAGCTACCCAGTATCCCAGATTCAATATTCCTCAGCTTGCCCAACCTGCTGTGGCTGGACCTCAGAAATAACCAAATTGCATCGCTCCCTGCCGAAATTGGCGTGCACAGGTTAGTTATGCAACTGCTCTTTGAAAAATATGCTGATTGATTTCGAACCCTTCGGCCACCACGGGAGTACAGTATGTTTCTTTGTCTCATTTCAGAACATTTTTAGATAAGAATATTTCTATTTTAGAGTTGTGTTTAGTTGCATATGCACTGAAAACCAAATTGATTCCAGAGTGTGGTAAACTGAGAGGCATATTTTGTACAATTTCCTCATGTTCAGTTTAGGACTAAATGTGTCTTGATCAAGACATAACCCTTGCAATCATCTAATAATATTTGAGTTCATTCATGTAGATCTCTGAAGACATTACTTCTGGAAGGAAATCCCATCTCAGAACTTCCCCCAGAGTTAGGTGGGTAGAGTTCAGTCGCCTTTGCCAGCAAGCAGTGTCTCTGTTCTTTTGCGATAACAAGCTGTCTTTCTGTTTCATCAGTTTCAGTCAGCCTCACTGGCAGCAAATTTAGAGCTAGATTACATCCAATGAAAAATTAATAGTTAGGAATAGAAATAATACATTTCATCTAATTTTTGACAATTTTGCCTCTCTCTTTCTTCCAACTGTTGTCACTAAAAGTGTTACTAATACACTGTTGCTTGCAGGTACAGTACATTAACGTTCGTAATCAGGAATATACAATATTTAAGATTCCTACACCGATGCACATAGTTTTAAGTGATTCTTTATTTGTCCATTTGTCCCAGGAAATGTTATTACTCTCAAAGGCCTGAACCTGAGGAACTGCCCCATCACTTTCCCTCCACAAGACATTGTGCACCAGGGGCTCCGGAGCATCCTCCAGTACCTCAGGAGTGCTATGGCTAAGCGGCCAGTTGGCATGAGGAGGACCCCCCCAGGTGAATGAAAGGCACCTTAACTTTGAACAATGCAGCAGCAATGTGTTCAGTCTGCACATGCATCCTAGCCATCTGCTCTTTTTGTCAAAGATAGGATGGCTGGCCACAAAAATAGCTCCTTGCCCTGGTACCACTTCACTGGTGTGACTTCTGTTGCCTTGGAGACGGCACGTGTCACTCAGCTGACTCCCCTCCCACTCCCACCCCTTTCCAGCTCTGTAATATTTTTAGCCAGATGAAAATGATCGATAACCTGTGGGCTCTAAACAGGAGCTCTCTGTCACTAAGCACTGTCTGGAGGTAATCACTGTGAGAAGCCCAAGACAGCCCTCCACAGGAGAGGCTGCTGCTGCACAATGAGCAGAGCCAAACCCCTCAATCAAACGATTTATCTCCCCTACAAGGTTATTAAGAAAGACAGGGCTCCGGTCTCCTGGGGAAATCTCCTTCCATTTGCTTGGCTCAGAGTATACATTTAGCAGATCATTCATTTACATACTGCACTGTAATCAACCTTTTTAAGCTGCGGTATCATGGAGTATTTAGCCCATTTGAGTCTACTTATCCTACAAGTGGGTAAAAGTTACATTCAGACCCTTATTTTCTTAATCCAGTAAAAACTTGCTTGCTACATCTTTTTGCTCTATAATAAGATGGGGATGTTTTACCTGCTATTATTGGTTATGTGAATTTGTTGGTAAAATGCTGGCATGTCTTTTCTACAGTTAGAAAGAACTACCTGTTCTATCAGTATTTCTTGATTGTCAACCGGTTATCATCATCCTCATGTGCTTCTACCAGCCGCTATAGCTGCAGACAGCAATTTTTGTTGCCAGTTTTGGCTGCCCCCACATTGGCTGCTGTGGTTGTTTCATTGGTAGAGTTGCCTGTGGTGGAGAAGCTCCAGCTGTCAGAGCTGATGGGGTCCAGTATGGAGGAGCAGGATGAGTCAGTGGATGAGGACGAGCTGCAGAGGTTCAGGGAACTCAAACACAAGATGATCCTGCTGGACAAAGCTGAGCTGGACTCAGTAGTGCCGGGGGATAGAAACCAGAGGGCATGCCTTCTTCGTATTACCCAAAGGTAAGTAAAGTAAAAGTGTTGGGGTGAAAGAAATAAGAGATTTTAGAAGTGAAAAAGTATGAGAAAATGCTTTTCTCTGTTATAGTTTGACATTTTGGGATATACGCTTTATCCCCAAGAGTTAGAGGAGAAGTCTGATAACATTTTCATATCTGCTGATGATAGTATTGATCTTCTCATCTCTCTGCCATAAAGCGTTTAAGCGTGTTCCATAAAATGTCAAACTATTCCTACTAAGTCTAGACCAGGTACAACTGTGAGTTGCACATAAAATATTTTTTTCGGGGTTAGAAGAGAGCTAAATGACTAGTTATTTAAATGCTTCTGCCATTGTTTTTGTACAGTGTATCCAGGCAGCAAATATCTGTTGGGCATAAATCAATTGTCACCTGTTCAGACATATTGTGGAATGAAGTTTGACAGTGTTATTGGCTATCCAATAGTTTGACAGAGGAAGTGAATTTGTTTTGTTTCAGTACACAACTTTTGTGCTGCGGTTTGGAGTTGTCGTGGAGGGCCAAGTATATGACATGGTGCCTTGGAAAAGGATAGCAAAACACTTTTTAATGATATTCTCTGCAGAGCAGATCGAGTGATAAAAATCTCCCAGGCTGTCTCTTGGGACTCAGAGTTCAGGAGAGCAATAAAAATAATGTATTTTGTTTCAATTTATTTGTCAGAAAAAAGGCAACTACCAAGGCTGGTATAACTCCTGTGCTAACCCTGTTTGACACTCAGCACTGGAAGAGGCCAGAAGAACGGAAACAGGCTGCAATGAAAGAGCTGAAAGAAAAAAAAGCTATTCTCGAGCAGAGAAGAAAGTATGTGGATTTCTACTATAAGTCCCATATGATAAATACCCTATTGACTGTCTTACTGCATGACATTTTGACCATGAAATTACATTGGTGAATTGCATAGAATATATATTCAGGCCATGTAATCCCAAATATAAGACAATGTTGTTTCACAAAGCATGGCGTTTAATTGGCATGTGTCCAAGTGATCAACAGTAAAGAAGCCATATTATGTTCACCATGTAAAGACAGAAAGAATAATCTTAATATTTACAGACCCCTTTGAAACCCTTTAGACACAACAGCCCAATAACCGTTTTACTGGACATTACTGCATTGTTATCTGGCTCTCCCATAGAACCCAAGAGGCTCTTCGGAAGTGGCACACACAAGCCAAGATCACACAGGAGAAGAAAATGTCTGGGTACCAGCTAAAGAAGCATGGAAGGCAATTAAAACAAGAGGTATGTGTGAAATTTGATAATACTTCGCCTGAATTTCCACTTGTCAATGGGCCAACCACAAGGGGGCAGTAGAGCACCACCTCTGTCACACTGGGTAGAGGACTAAAATAAAAATTATGAAATTATTACAAGGTAAAACATTTTGATGCTAGTGAATGACTTTTTTCAGGTAGTAGCTGTTGAAGGCAGCAACAGATGCCAGGGCTTGTGATGGTGTGTGCTGCATCAGTGATCGCACAGCAGCAGCTTGTAGCTATCAAAGCTGATGTGTACACTGGTTTTGAGTAATTTGATTGTCAGCTGCATTTCCTTGCATAGATCAGCTCACAATGTTTGCATAATCAGTGTAAATATTCACTGAAAAATATAGGAAAAAACAACTCCTTTTGGGTAGGATGACACAATGAGGTTGCTGTGTTGCAGCTGTAGGCTGTGTTTGTAGGAAGTGTCGCAACAGCTGTATCATCCTATATGCACACAAGCTCTGCTCTCATGTTGTACATGTTAATAAACACCTCCCCTCTCTGTTACAGGAAGCAGAAACAGATTCTAAACCTGGTGTGGAGGACAGCAGCGATGCATCTCAAAGTCAGATGTCCAGAATGTCCATCACAGAGTGTGTGGAGGCCAGGTAAATCTGGGTGACCAAAGTACTGTCTACTACAGACAAAAACGTAATCTGAAACCTGGACCAGTATAAGAATTGAATGCCGTCAATGGAAATGAGTAAAGATTACTACCGTAATCCCTTTCCCCCACCACTCCTCCACCCGCCCCGCACAGCCGCTATACATTCAAAACATAGTCGGACTTGCCACTAGCAAGATTGCCCAGCAACATTGCTCAAAAAGTTGCCCCGTGTATCATCAGCTTTAGAGGCCGACCTGCCGCATTGGCCAGGGATGTTTTTTAGTTTGTTGTGTATGACTTCAACAATGAATTTACAAAATACTGGGGACATCTTCCTGATATTCAGTTGCAGCCTTGTTTGCACAATCAACTTCTGACTTGTCTTAAAGTTTAAGAAGCCCTCCCTAAAACTTGAATTCCTGTTTTTAACTTAGTTATCTCCTTTGTGATGGCTACAGATTAATAAGGACAATCAAGGCATAATACCTTCATCTCATCAGTGCACCTGATGGAAAGACTGCTATACATACTGTATCTAACACTTTGGACATTCTGTGTATACAACTTAAACAGTGATACATAACATCCTGGGACATAGGGACACAGGGACAATATGTCTTTGGCCTGACCTCAAGGCATGAAATTATCCACTGAATAGCATTTTGAATTGTGAGCCATGCAGGTGGAAAACCAGAGACACCTACTGGGCAAAAAGACCCACCACAGAACATCGGCAGTTTCTTTTGTTCTTTTTAAGCTACACCATGCCCCAAAACAGATTTAAAAGATTAGATAGTACACCTTAGACCTTTCTGTTTTTATTGATAGAATGAATAGTAATATATGGATAAAGTCGTCAGACACAGGCTTGCATTTTTAATCAGTTTCCAGCAGACATAAATGCCATGATACCACTGGCCATATTTAAGCATCTAAATGTTCAGTGTTTAGGTAGAACATTTTGACCTTTGACCTGTGTGGCCCTCCAGATCAGCCCGTGAGCTGGAGCGGCAGATACGTGCCCGTGTTGAGAAGATGCAGGAGAGACGCAGGAACCCCAGGGGCACGACCACCGAGCAGATGGCAGCAGCAGAACAAGATGTGGAAGAGGTCAGACCTATACTTCATTATTCACACAGTCCATCTATATTGAACTCATGGGTTATGATCTGAATTTGTTTGGTTTTTTGTTCTTATTGTTTTGTTTCTTCCCACTGACAGATGAGGAAATTACAGACTCGGCTTCTAGAGAAGAAGAGAAATCGGGGAAGAGATCTTGAAAATTCTTTCACTATCTTCACTGGCGACACCTGGCAGAGAATCCTTGACAAGTCACAGGGATTATAATGATTGTTACTCCTGTTGTTTCAGTTTTGAATTATTACTCAAAATGTATTGACTAATCCTTTTTTGAATGACTGTTCTAATGCTCAGATCTTAAAAATAAAGCTCAAAAGGCTGTGACTGGGCAAACAAGTGTTTTGAAATTTTCCATGGCATGGTTCTTTGTCTTGGACTTCTGCAAGACACCCTCTCCATTACAAACTAGTCGTGTTTTGCCTTCACCTTACCTCAAATATGTACAGGCAATATGGTGCTGCTTATTTACTGTGTGAAATGAAGCTGTTTAGTCATTAAATGTTAAATTTGCTCTCCAGACATAACAGCATAAGCATCATATGTCGTATTATAAATCTGAATTATCACAATGTTAATTAAACAAGGCGTAAAATATAAGAATCTTTATAGGGGGGGGGGGTTAGAAATGGCAAAATAAAGGTAAACCTAACCTAGGTTACTAATGGCTAGATTTGCAGAAGGGTACATTTCATGTATGGTAACAAATAGAAGACCTGCAAGGGCATTTTAGCAATAGCACATGTAATGCTTTTGTGAAACTATAACTACTTTGAGTTAAGATTGGTGCAGTATATCTTTTGATGAATTTTTAAATACAGGTCATATTTGTGTTATTGTATGACCGTATCGCTCACAACATATTCGAAAATAAATCCATATTTTATCAATCTTCCAGTGTAATGGTGGTTTAAAAGTTTGGAGCAAAACGCCATTAGACTCTCGCATTGAAAAACGGAGGCATCCCCGAGCTGAAAGTCCGCACTAATAAATGGCATCAAACAAGTCAAAGTGAGACAGGGAAAGGGTAGGCCTTGTCTTGGGAGATTTTTGCTCCTCTAGCACAGAGAGCGTGATGTCAGCGGTGGCAGTACTGTTGTAATTGACTTGGTGGGGGTGATGGCGTCATTTTATGCCCTGGTGTAGCCTCCTGCTCCAATAGCGAAGGGGAGACGGATCTTTAGCCGACGCGACCGTGGCTCCCTTGGCCGGGATCGAGCACCGCCGAGCCGGACACTTCACGCCGGGAAACATGGAGGCTGTGGCCGAGGAGCTGCGGGCCGGCTCTCGGGTGCCTGTCACTATCGATCAAATACTTAACGATACGCTGGTGGTGACGCTTACCTACCGGGAAAGGAGCTACACGGGGATATTACTTGATTGCAACAAAAAGTGAGTGCTATTGCGTTTATTCTCTTTATACATGTATCTCTGAAATTAATTTGCTAAAGTCAGCTAACGGCTAATCTACCTTTGATGCTAACAAGCCCAAGCTAGTCAGTTAGCTAGCTGTAAGCTAACTGGGCCTCCATACAAAAGATTCGTAGGTTATTGTAGCTGACAGGGTAGCTATCTGCTAGCTGGTCGGCTAATGGCAAAGTGATTTTATTCAAGCCCATACTGAAATGGTTAAATGTGTTATTTTACTTTGGGGAAATACTGTTTGTCAAGATAGTGGCCCTGTCTACAGAGAATGTTGAAGACTTTTCTTGAACAAAACTAATGTCAGTGGGTTCATCTATAGCTTATTGTTAGCCTAATCAAATACAGAGCAGCAAAAACGTTTTCAGTAAAAGGGTAGGCCTTAGCTGAGCAGTATTCTATATATCAGTTATGTTTTGATGTATTACTTACACACACTGGTGGTATTGCATTGTGCACTATTTTTCTGGAGTGATGTTCCACTTTAAAATAATGTGTAATACAGTTGAGAAATAGCCCTTCATATGCAGTCACTTGATCTGTGGAAACAATGGAAAATGGCAATAAAGATACATGTGGGATTTGATGAATCACAACTGTAATGCCTTCTCTTTAAACATGGTCCTCATGAGATCAAATGACCATCTTAGGCTCTGTTTAACAAGAAAAGGCCCTCTCTTACCAGTTAACTACAAAACACAATCCTCTTCAAATGAGAAAACCATATATGTATATTTTGACATGTATCAGCGTCATGTCTTATCTGCTAGTCTTGGTGTGTGTCACATGTATATGCCTTGTGTTGCTCTTGTTGCTGTGCACCTTAAAAGCCACTGGCTTTAGACTATTTATAGACTACCAGAAGCAGAATTTGACCAGCTTTGCCCCTTAGTATGCTTAGATTCACGTGAGAGCTCAAGCTGTCCTGCCTGAAACCCACCCAAATAGTAAAAGGCAGGCCTTGCAATAACTTAAAATAGGCCTTTATTTCAGGCCTTGTCACTGTCAAAATTTGACTACTTCTTCCTTTTCAGCTCATGGAAATACATTTCCTGTCATTGTCTCCAACAGTTTTTTTTTTTGATCATTGTCTAGGCCTATCATTCAGGCAGATCTCTGCATCTAGTTACACTGTACACAATGTGAAATGGCACCAGTGCAGTGAATCATGGCTAGTCATATGCTGCGGCCTTGTACTGTGCTTAACTAGCACTGCTTGTTGCCCGTCACAGGCAGCCCTGTTTGTGCCGTGTCAATCACTGTGAAGGCTAATATTCGACTGCTTTAAGGGCGCATATAAAAAAGTTGAGAGGAACAAGCTGCGCCGAGAGACTATTATTCGGAGGTGCCTGCCAGTTACTTCTCCTGGGGAGGAAAACAGGCTCCCCAAATGTGCACTAATTATTAATCTTACCACACGTAATCCCTGAGTGGACACGGATGCAAAAACAAACTGAAATCTCCTGGCTCCTTCCCTACATCTCTGAATCCCGAGTGATTCATGGGATTGTTTTTGTTCAGTCAGATGTTGGGGAGGGGGGGGGTTTCTGGGCATCCTGTAGTCTCTTTGTCTGCTCTCTCCTGACTAAAGCAACACAGCCATGTTACTCTTGCCTGACAGCCACTTCTCAAAGACTCCTTGGCACTTGGGCCATCTTTGGACATGTCTGCTGGTCGCAGAGTACCAAAAAGAACACACAAAATCACTGAGAGTCAGTGATGCTATTGCTCAGGTTTTGTGGCCTAAGGCAGCAGAACAGATAACTGCCTGGCTGCTTGTGGACCCCAACCCCCACACGTAAAGAATTTTCAGCATACAGGTGACAGGGACAGTGGTGTCAGTGTGTCTAGTCAAAGTAAAACAAAACAGTAAAATAGGTTTTCTTACTCAAAGCCTGTGATAGGCCACATGTAGGAAGGGCTTCGTGTGCCATTTTTTCTTTTGCCCTAATTGAAACAATAAGGTATTTGATTTGTTCTGTTCCGCTGGCATTAAGTTGTCTGACATGGTGAAAAGAAACAGTTATTCACTTGTTTTTGTTTTTTGCTTTTTTCTCGTTCATTTTAGGACTGGGCTATTCTGTCTACCAGATATCACAGAAAAACCTGGGGACTACCTGATATCTAAACCTGCTTGTGAAATCCCAGAAATTCTGAGTGAGGAACCGGTTTCCAAATCACTCAGCCAGTCTTCACACAGACCAAAGGATGAAAACACTCTCCCTGAAAGCAGCATACCAACTGCACCCCTTCCCTGCCCCGTACCAACACCAGTTCCAGCTGGACAGACTCCTTACCCTCCTTATTTTGAAGGAGCCCCCTTCCCTCAGCCATTATGGGTGCGCCACAGCTACAGCCAATGGGTACCTCAGCCCCCTCCGCGACCAATCAAGAGAAAGAAGAGGCGAACACGAGAGCCTGGTCGCATGACCATGAGTACTATCCGTCTGCGGCCACGGCAGGTACTATGTGAAAAGTGCAAAAACACACTGAATAGTGATGAGGACAGCAAAGATGGCATGAGCAACACTAAGGCTTCTAGAAAAGAGAATGCACTGCAGAGCGATGATGATGGTGACGACAAGGATACCCCCTCTAAGCTGTCGAGAAAGGAAGATGGAGTTGCAACCAAGGACACTAAGAGACGTGAAAATGGCACCAGCCTTGACAACAAGCGCCTCAGGAAGGACAAAAGGGGGGAGGCTGAAGGGGAGAAGTTTCCCGGTGGTGACGTTATCCCCCACAGTCCTGTCATAAAGATCTCCTACAGCACTCCGCAGGGCAAGGGTGAGGTCATGAAGATCCCCTCCAGAGTGCACGGCTCAGTCAAGCCATTCTGCCCCAAACAGCTGGTGCAGAATGGGGTGGGAGAAAATGGTAAGACGCCTTCTGATCCCACCAAGGAGCAACGGCACATTCTAGATGCCACAAGGTCTGGCCTCACCGTATCCATTCCCAAACTCAAACTAACCAGGCCTTTTACAACCGTGGGTCAGGACTTGCCTTCCCCAAAGATCCGCTTGAGACCCCCTCAGAGGGAAGGTGAGGAGAGAGTAGTCGAGTATGAGGCAGAACTAGTAGGAGGCACCAGGAGACGAAGCCCCAGGGTGCCCGGGCCCTGCCTCCCCCATTCTGAAGACTCAGGGGAAGGCAAAAACTCTCTAGAATTGTGGTCAGGGAGTTCAGGAGAGGAGGCGGAGCGCGGCCACAGCGACCTCACCCTTCTCATCAATTTCCGTAAGCGCAAAGCAGATTCTTCGAGCCTGTCGGTCTGCAGCAGCGACAGTCTAGATGAGTCCAAGTCCTTCAGCTCTGACGGCACCTCACCAGAGCTGTGCGATTTGGCCCCAGGTGAAGACCTGTCCGTAACCTCCTCTTCTGTACCCTCACGGGAAGACTGCAAGACAGTCCCGCCGCTTACGGTGCGGCTTCACACCCGCAGCATGACAAAGTGTGTAACCGAAGAGGGTCACGCCGTGGCGGTAGGCGACATTGTGTGGGGGAAGATTCACGGCTTCCCCTGGTGGCCAGCACGCGTCCTCAGCATCAGCGGCACCCGCAAACAGGAGACGGCCAATTGTGAGGCCCAGTGGCCCCAGGCAAAGGTCGCGTGGTTTGGTTCACCGACAACCTCCCAGCTCTCCGTTGCGAAACTGTCACCCTTCAGAGAATTCTTCAGGTCCCGCTTCAACCGCAAGAAGAAAGGGATGTACCGGAGAGCCATCCTAGAGGCCGCCAAGGCCGTGGGCCACATGGGCCCAGAGATTACATCGCTGCTTTCCCACTGCGACACGTAGGTTAGTTAAACGTTACATATGGTTGTAGCACATATTTGATATACGTGTGTATTCTTTCTAAAGCTGATGATACTCAGAGCAACTTTTAGAGCAATGGTACTGGGCAATGTTGCCGTCAATGGTAATGAGGAAAGATTACTTCAGTAATCCCCTTCCACCCCCCACTCCGCCACCCGCTCCGCTATCTGTTCAAAACATAGTTTCTCACCGCCCTATTCAAGTTGTTTGATTCATCAAGTCCTTCTGACAGGCTGTAGCTGGCCCCTCCGCTGCTTGTGTTATTTGTGTGGGTTCATTCAAACAGGCGAAGTCCAACTAGTAGTTCTGCCAGTCTTGATTATCTGAGAGTGCCCAGGCTAACTAAGAGAAATAAGTTCAAATGTTGGAGAAATTGCAACAGGGAGTTGGGCCAGATATTGAATATCCGGCACAAAAATGAGATGCCAGGTCGGTGGCTTGGGGACACTTCGGCTTCAGTAAACATGAAATTACATTAATATTTCATTTTTATCCAGTCTGAACCCATCATCAAATCTGATATTTGTACCTGAATCTACTGAAGACCCTTATGAGCATTTTTAGTTTTAGCATTCAGAATTTGAAAGTAACTTAAAACCCAAGAGATTCAGTTGAAGTCTCAATGCGGAAGAGCCAGAAACATTTTACAGTTGCAGTCTAATTGATGTTCACAATCTGCAGCTACAACCTGAAAATACGAGAGAACTAAATTCATCCTGAATTTATTCCCGAAATACACACATACCGAACACACTTATTATACATAGTAAAATAATAAATATATATTATCAGGCTACAGAGTAGTTATAATTAATTGGCGACTACTGACATGACCTGCCACCTCCGACCTTTGTCATCTTTAACCGGTGAAAGCGACGTTTGTTGCCAGCTAAAAATTAGTCACATCTAGAATTACATATGCTCATAATGCTCACACAGTAGAGCCCTGATTTACTAATAACATCCCATACCCTCAAAAATTTAGCAGGATGAATGAGACCCCACTGCAGTGTTATTTCAAATCTGTGTAGAATGTTCTTCACTTTGGTAGTCGCAACGAGTCTTGGGGGGTGTGTGTGTGTGTGTGTGTGTATATATATATATATATGTATGTGTGTATATATATATAATATATATATATATATATATATATATATATATTATATATATATATATATATATATATATATATATATATATATATATATATATATATAATATTATATATATATATATATATATATATATATATATATATATATATATAATTTCTCAGTCCACAGAATTAGTGTGAAGTTGACTGCAATGGTGTGGGATCTTATGCACTGTTATTACTGAGTGAATATGGATGTTCATTGTCACTGTTTCCCCTAGGATGGAGTTGTAGCAGTGGAGGTGAAGCAAAATTTTTTTCTGAATATAAAACCCCAACACAACATGCCTAAGCAACATTGCTCTTGTGTCCATGAGCATGCGCTGCACACTAGAAGAGCTAAAAATGTCAGTGTTTTCCCAGTTTAATGTGAGCTTTTGATTAATGTTTTGGTGGTGGTCGGGTCAAGTTGGGTCCTCCCCCAAGAAAATATTACGTTTGTAAATTTGTAATTTCACATCACATTGGATTGAACCAAACACTCACCACGCACCTCCCGATTCCTTACAGGAGTTACGCTGCTCTTATAAAAACATCTGTCACATAGATGTTTTGCATAAAACAATAAGAAAAAACTAGCCAAGCATTGAGTGTTGCCGTGCTCGCACAGTGTGCGAGTGAAAACATTTGTAGCACATAATTTAATGATCGTGGAAAATTTTAGTAGCGGCGTTCATGATTGCATACAGGGGAAACACTGATTGTGGAATACATTCCGGTCATGTTGCCCAGCCCTACCCTTAGATTTCTTTAATATTAGGGATGCACCAATACTGATATTGGATATCGAAGCGATGCTGACTCAAATAGCTGGATCAGGTATCAGTGACAAGAGGGACAGTGCGGATCGGTGCATCCCTACTTATAATGGCTAATTTGATGGTGTTCATGTTAAAGTGTGGGGGAATGTGAGCAGAGTGAAAATGATCCTGCGCCAACCTGCTCATTTATAGTTCTCCCATGCCAGCTTAGGGGCCCCGGCCACATTTATGTCATGAAGGAGTTGCTGTGTTCAAAGCAGCAAAACAAACATGACTGCCAGCCTTAATGCAGGCACAGGCTGCACTGCTGACTGGAAAAGCTTGTTCAAAAAATGGCTAATTTCAGAAAGCGAGTCCCAAGAAATGGGCAGTACTGCCTTAGCACATTGAAAGCAAGTCCACTGCAAGTGCATAAAAATAGGTTGTCTGCTATGTCTAAAAAGCACGCTGTCATACTGTGACTACTTCAAGCTTGTTCCCCTGGTTTGCTAGTGCGTTTTCTCTGTGCAGCCAAGCAACATGTACTCAACACACACTCAAAGGTTAAATATTGTTCTTGAGCGATATGAGAGAAAGACAGGCCGCTCCAAACCCTTCTGTTTACTCTGTTATGGGCTCAGTAGCCAAGACGAGGTTGGTTGTAGTTGAGAATATACACGGTAAGAAGTTAAGACCGGCCTATATTTAGTCATTTTTTCCAAAGCTCATAAAAGAAGAGTTTTTCTTGTTCTGTCAGCTACACAGAGGTTTCAGCTGGCTGGAAAGTAGCTGACCTTCACTTTACAGTGCTCCATAATCTTCAGCTGACTAACATGACATGTTGAGATCCATGCTGAGCCTCGTATACTCAGTTAGCAATTCCCTAGACTGGACATATAACCTGCCTTGTTTGCCCATTGTCTTTACTTTGTGCTCTCACCCCCCCCCCTTTTTTTCTCTTGTGTAGAGGCTGAGGACTGACTAAAGGACTGGTTTTTCTGAATTCTCAGACTGCATCAAGACCCAGGAGGGAGTATGTGAGGTTGCCACGGCTACTATTTATAAATGCCGTTTTTTTTGTTTTGTTTTTTTTCTTTTCACAAGGCTGGTAGAAAAATGGCTGTCAAGGTGGAGTGGCGTTGAGACTGGATAAGGGAGCAAAAAAAAAAGGCCAGGGTTCTCGTGGTCTACTATGAACTATTCCTACAATTTTTTTATTTTATTTGATTTTTTTCTAGATTTAATCATATTTCTGTAGAGCCGAATAACGACACTACAAGGACCCAAATGTATTTATTATCTGGAATGGTTTATTATGATCCACCCTTCTACTGCAATCTCACAAAACCTCCCAGTCTGCTGCTGTCATTATCACGGCCCTCGCTGCTGATGTGTTCACTGCGAGGTCCAACTTGGCCGGCCAGAGGAAGCTGGTGGCATTCCGAAAGGAACACCCCACCCACCACCCCATACCCCCCCCATCTTGGACAGGAGATGTTTAACCACGGTTTGAAAAGTCTTACCCTGAATCTTCTTACTTCTGAAAATGTGAACGGCTCCATCCAGAGACGGTAGTGTTCCAGCTCTTCTAGCGATCAGTGTTCCATCCTCGTAGCCTTCTGCGACATTAGTTGGATTTGTGGATGTATTTATACTGAACTCTGTTCCTCTCCAGAATCATGTTGTGCGTCTCTCTCTTCATTTCATTTTGTAACTTTAGGAGTGTCATGTCCCCCAACTTCCCCTCCCAACCTTTTATTTTTCCTGAGAACCATTTTTACATCACTTTAATTATTTAAAACGTCACGTTTAAGAAAAAAAAGCACTTTATCTGTACCTTGGTGGCCTGCTGTAAGCTCACTGTCTGAAACACTATTGCGAGATACAGCCCTGATAGGCAGCAGGGGAGTCCGGGAGTCTTTGTGGTTGACTATCCTTGGCCTTGGAGATACAAAAAAAAAAATCATTTTTTGTTTTATTTTATTGTACGATTTTTGGGGACACCAGACACGGATGGTTGTGTACACTGTATTCTCGCATTTGACTTGGTGTGTCCTCTCTCAGCTTATCTGCCACACACACACAACGAAAGTCCACGTTAAACATTTCCACTGGAGAAACATGGGTGAACAAATGTGTCAAAACCCCCTATGCATTATCAGTTAAAGCTTTATGAGTGACTTTGGGAGAAGGTTAAAAAAAACAAAAAAAACAACATGCTGTAAGAATACTGTGAATTCATCTGCTGAGTGTGCTGAAGAAAAGCTCGCTACTAGTTGGAGCCTGCAGTTATTGAGTCATCCAAGAAAAGCAGATTGCAGTCCTGACCTTTAGTGACCTTTTGTGTTTGAAGCAGCACTGTTGGATTGGGGGGGGGGGCAGCAAAGGCAAGAGACCACGGCTGTCAAGCACAGCCCAGTCTGTATTAAAAACTTACCGAAGATTGCACACAGTCACGCTCAGCCAACCAGCCCGTCTCCTTTTCTGCCTCTCTGGGAACACTTTGTTCAGATTGAGGCTGAAAACTAGCTCAGTGATTGTCAATGAGAGAAGTGTGTTCATTAGAGGAGCACGTAATGCACTCCTCCCAGTTTGATCATCTGCGGTTTGACTGTTTGCTGTCAAGGCCGGCTAGTTTCCAGGCAGCCTCACACAGCGAGGAGTGGGAGAGCCTAAATGTATGTATGCCTGAGAGGGGAAACTGTCGTCAGGATTTTCCCGTGTATGAGCAACATGGCTATCTACTGTTGCGCATGTCGGTCAATGTTATTGGCTACTTTTTTTTGGTTGTTTTCTTTTTTACATGTACTGTACATAAAATAAAATATAAAGCAATACCTGTGCTGTTGTGGATGAGTCACTTTGTCATTAATTGTTGATTTTAACGATTGAATTGCTGAAGGTGGAAAAAAATAGGTTCAGCCCCGACAGAACAAAACATTTATTTACACTTGAGTTTACAATTGAGTGAATCACATTAAATAGTATATAGTTTGTGGCATTGATATTGTTTCATGTGGTGTCGCCACAAATAAATCAACAAATGGGAAATACTGCAGTGTGGTGCCGGTGCTAGAGACAGTTTTTATGTCATCTTAGCTCTGATAGTGAGTTACGTAATATCAGCGCATGGGAAAAACCTATCGCCCGTCGTCGTTAGCCAATCTAATCGCCAATCGGAACAAGCCTATTGTGTAGACAAGCACACTGCAAATCACTGCCTTTTTTTTTTATATGGCTGTGTTTTTTAACATGTCGCTGCTGATTGTGTAACGCCTCTTACACGCCCACCAAACAAGAAAAAGCGTACCTCAAAGCCAGTTGCGCTCTGTTGTACACCATCTAATGAAATATGCTACCCAGTTGCATTATGGGAAATGGATCCACTGTTTAGGGACCCATACTAGGGACTAAAAGTCAGGATATCTCGGCCACTGCCTTCAGCCTGTCTCTCACAAGTCCCTCAACTTTCTGCAAGTGTAATAATAAATAGCTTGAGTGGTTCTTGTATTTGAAAGGGGGATGGTGAATTTATTATGACACTGGGAGCCTCATTTACAACTCCGGTCGGTTGCTACTTTGCTTATTGGCACTGAATATTTATCGGTTAGGAATAGACAAGGGCATTACTCTATTCACTATTCTTCTGTCTTCTTTCAATGTTTGACCTTGAAAACTAATTTCCCACTCTGTCAGTCATTCTTCAGCGTGACAGGTTTGCATATTTAAAGGAATAGCTTGACATTTTGAGAAACACGTTTATTTGCCCTCTTGCCCAGAGTTAGATGAGAAGATCAAAGTCACTGTTTGGTGGTTATCTAACAGAAACACATGGAAACGGCTAGCCTGGCCTGCAGTATAACACTTTATTATTCAGTTTGAATAATCAAGATGTACCTTGTTAATTAGTTAGCTTAAGTTAGTTCTAGTAGAAGGCACATTTAGTTACCTTTGGACAGAGCCAGGCTAGCTGTTTCCCTGTTTTCAGATGGTATAGTAAGCTAGGCTAACCATCTCCTGGCGTAACTTTGTATTTAATGGACATATTAGAGTTTCAGATATTTCCAAAAACGTCAAACTGTGTCTTTGATGTTTCTAAGCCTTAGGTTGTGTGCAGATGTGGTCTTTTTCTGGTTGCAACTCAACCACTGGATGTAGGAATCATTTCAAAGCTATTTTAAAAAATCACAGGGGCTTGTTGCAGACACACCCTACAGTGCCATGACTGCATCTTTGCATCTTTGAGTGGAAATGGAGTTAAATCTAGCAAGGCTCCTGTTGTTCACTGTCCAATAGCCTCTACCTTTATCTTCCTTCCCCTCTGCCCTCCTCACCCATCTTCCAGGCTCTTCCTCAGCTGTGGTCATGCCACATGCCTTGATTTGTAGCCTCTGTGACATAAATAGGAGTGGTTAAGTATGTCTATTGCATAACACTAGTTACGCAACAGACATATATCAGTTGACGGGCCGATCAAGGTAAGGTGACCCTCGTCTGGCTATCTCCTGATCAGATCACTAGTCACAGATTTACTAGTCTCAGCTCTAGATCTCCCTTCCCCCCATGCCCGCTCTCATTTCATACTTCTGACCTGACTGTGTCATAACTCACCACTCTGTTTCCTGTTGACTAAAGCTGCCCCAAAGCAAATTGACTGATTCAACAGGGATAAGCCCAAAAAAATAAATTCTAGAAATAAACCCGTTTGGGTGTTAAAAGCCAGTATTGCTACCATAGCTTACTAGTATGGACAGTTCAATACTAGCATCACCAATAGATCAGGTTTTTAGGTAATTTAGCAGCATTACACAAACACAGTCCAATAGGGCAGTTATTCAGTTCAGAAAAGTGGATAAATCTTTTTCTCCCACAATTGCCAGTCATGCTTCATGCCTCTACTCTGTTAAATGGAGCATCACAAACATGCCTTTATCATGTTCTACTGACTTTGTATGTCTTCGTTATATATCCTCAAACTAGCAGTATTAGAAGATGGTTACCACTCTCCTATCTGTCCGTTAAATATGATGCTAGTGCCTGTAATATAGCTAAGCTTAACATAATGACCCAGGAAGCAGGGGAAGTTATATCTTCAGTTATACACTTTGGTTTTTATATGCATTAAACAAATGAGATATAATGTGTTAATTAATGAGCTTTAAAGATACTGATAGACTGATTTTGGACAGGCTAACTGTTTCCAATCTTTAAGGAAAGCGAAGTTAGCCGTCTCCGGGCTGTAGCTTCATAATTAGCGCGCAGATGTAAGTATCAATGGTGGTATAAATTGTTTCATCGTACTCTCTGTAAAAGTACTCCTATAAATTAATGAAGCCTAATAGAAAATGTGTTTATATGACCCATTTTCCATAAAAACTACAAGACAAGACTGCGCTCTGAGCTTTAAAAATGACATTTCACAACGCTGCATTAGACTGTTGTGTGTTTTAGCCCAATGACACTGATAATACTCAAAACTGAAGCTGTCGGTGAGGTTGTCGTATGGACAACAATGATAGAAAACAACATTTTAATACATGCTGATTCACCAAACGATCAACATACTGTATATATGCACAGGGTTGATAGGATTGTGACCAAAGAATGAGTGAGTACTTCCCACTTTCCAGGTTGAAAGTCAGTGAGTTTGCCCCTCAGATGATCACAGTTCTATTGTTTTCTTCATTGCCCATTGAAGGCCTGATGCCACAGCTGGAAGCTGTTGCACTGCCGGTCTGTCTTGCTTCCTGGATGTCAAAAGCTTCCATTGTTTCACAGAAATTGATTAAAAACCCCTCATGTCTGCATTTAGCAACACGAAGCAAAGGGATTTAGATTATCAAATGCAACACTCACTAGCTGTGAAAGAACCTCTTTCATATTGCACTGGATTGTCTGGTGCTCACATTTACTCATATGAAAGGTATACTGACATATGAAAGGTCAGTGTCGGCGCAGTGGAAAAAGGACCCTGATTTGTAGTTTAGATAAACCCATCTGGTTCTGCCTCTGTGTTTATTACAGCTGTAGCGTCTGTGTTGGTTTTTCTAGTTAGTGTTAAGTCTGTTCTTCCCACAGGCAAGTCCTCGCCATCTGAGGCAGTGTTTGGCTCGGTGGCTGTTGCTTAGTGTCGATCCACCACACTCTGCAGGTGAGGCTGGGGGGAGGAATGCAGGCACACCGCATTCTCCGAACCTAGCTGTGGAGCCACACACAAATAAACACATAGGAGCAAGATGTGTGAAACAAAGAAACTGTTTGCTGGGAGACCTGCAGTCAGGACAGCACTGACCGCTGTGGAGAGATTTGTCATGCTGGAGGCAGTTTTTATTGAAGTGGAGCCAGCTTGGCTATGAAGGGGAAAATGTCTGATCCAATTTATTCACAGTGGGCATTTTGGCATGCACATTCCAATATTATCTGCGAAAATTCTGAGATAAGATGACTTTTACTTTTTTTCATATTCACGAATGTGCATGCATACAAATGCATACAAACAAGGCATGATCTTACTACGGTGGCCCTGAGAGCACAAATGCACTGCAAAAGAAAACATACTCAGAAAACATATATTGTATGCAGCACAGCAAACACATACAACACAACCAAATACAGTACAAACTAAAAAAAATAAACTACTTCAGAAAACAAAGTTTCCAGGGTACACCGAGCATGCCCAGGCACACTAGCTGTTATAATGGTTGTGACTCATGCAGTTACTAACTCCGTGACTAAGCATGATTTAGCAAATATCTGCAAAAATATCAGAGTTAAGCAATCAGCCATTTTAAACCTTAAAATTGTTAACTTCTTTCCCAACACCACAATTTCTGTATTTGGTTGGGTTGGCTGAATTTGCAGCATGTGGGGTCAAGCGGGCGAATGTGTTTCTCAATTTGTCCATGTTTTTTTTTATGTTCACTGTCTTTTGTTAAAGACGTTTTCTTTATGTGCTTGTGTTTTATTGATTTGCATGTGTTTTCTTAAAAAGCAGTGCACTGAGTACCCTGTGTAACACTATAACTATTTTACGTAAGCCCAGAGCTTCATCTCCATACAGGTGGAGTGTGATGGCGTGCTATAGCAGCCTACTTTGTGTGAACTCTCCAAAGTCGGCCTCAGCCATCTGTCTGCCCAGACCGTATGAAATAGGCTAATTGCATTTAGATTTTAAAACCCACAGTTCATGGTTCAACGTGTTCCAACCAGTTCTACAACCAAGCAGCAGGGAACAACTGCCCCACTGTTGATATGAAAACACATACACATACACACATGCTCATGCTTACACAACAAACACTCTCTGCCTTTCAGTAATCCCTGTATTTCCTGAAGTTGACATGGAACTGCACCATCCAGCCATGTGCCGTTTTTACCCAGCCTCTTTGAAACCCAGTCCCAGACTTAGACCCCGATTGATAGACGTGAGCACGTGCTCATACACCGAAGGCCTGGAGTTGCATCACTCCTGCCCCCTCCATCCAGCACGTTCTCATTCACAGCATGTGGAGGGGTACGCTGCTCCTTCATGCATCAGTGCAGCGTAAATCTGGGACAAAAAAGAAGGGAGGCACATGGCAGTGGGATGCTGTGTGCAATTACCGCTAATGATATGCCTCCATGCAAGCTGTGGCCATAATTAACTTTGGAGGAAGCCTGGTCTCTCTGAGCTGTGTGTGAGGGGATGCTCACAGGACACAGGCGCAGTGCTGAGAGTCAAGGCTAAGAAAGCAAACCTGCCCTGACATTATTCAGACGATATGTCTGCTCACAAAGATTAGGCACGTTGGGTGGTCCCGTGTTATGAGTAACATGATGCGGATGTTAATGGAATTGT